GCTGGGAGCTGCCCATGCAGGGCGCTGGTTGATCGGCTTCCTGCGCCGCCCTTCCACGCGTTTCGCGTTGCAAAGTGCATAGATTTCGACAGACCAGACCACACCACATCTTAGATGCTATGTGTACATGGTATGTAACTTCAGCTGTTCTTAAAACCATCTTATGTTGACTCCTTAAGGCTTTTCTGCCAGCCTGTTTCACTGGTTATGGACTGCGAAGCACTGAAGATGTGGGACTATGAGTTCTAGACTGGGGGTAGAGACTTAGCAAGTTTCCTCTTACTGCGCTGTAAATTAATTCATAACCTGTCTGCTGTAGATGGACAGCGTACTTTCTTTAGCAGAGCAGCGTTATAGTAATATTAAGCAAATTAGACTGCTGTAACGGAGCAGAGGTCGAAAATATACCTCCCTGTCATTCAGCCCAAAAGAACTACGGGGTAAACGAAGGAAATGTCACTTCTGGTTTCTAGTTGTTGCTACCTGTGGTTTACGTATGGTTTATTTGATCTACTCATTGCACCTGTTAAGTGCTACTGGGAGGCAATAAGAAAGCAATGTTGAATACACAACCAACAAAAGAGAAAGATGAGAGGGGAGAAGAACCGTAGGCGGTGGGGAGAGAATGTTAAGCCCCTAAGTACACAATCAATGGGAAAGGGGACAGGTAGTCTCCCCTCGTCGGGTATAAAAAGTTTACAGTTTGCGTTTTCACCTGCAGGAGGAGGGGAACACCTGACTCAACCGACTCGTTCGTATCAATATTTTTGCTTTGTAGACGTTGTCCCCTCTCAATTCTGTGGAGAAGCCAGTTACTTCTCAAATCCCTGAAGGAGAGAAAGAAGCCAGTAAAACCCCATTACCATCTCATGTCTTTCATCAAGAATTTAATGGCTTTACATAAGTGTGCATTCATTTCTAAAATTTGAAACTTTTCATTGTTTTTGCTTTGAGTGACTGATCACATTAAAAAAATAGTCTGTGCAAGGAAGCAGGGACAAAAGTCCACAACTCCAAAACTGCAGAGAGAACCTGTTGGTTATGGTGTGATCAGGTGTTTGGAAAGTTAAACTCACCAGAAGGAAAAGAGGTACAGGTTGATGGGGTGCAGCCAGGTTAGGCTTGCAACTGTCTTATAACACCTTTCCTCTACATCCAAGCACGCTTTACTGGAAGCATGCATAAAGATTGCTTTACTTCAATTGCTACATTCACTCACCACTGAATATAGCAACCAGCATGTTACCCTAAAAAGAATACAAACATAGGTGCATCTGCAGCAGCTCTAGACCTGGATGTCAATGCCAAATATTGATAACTACAAAAGATATTAAAGTTTTTATCTAAAGGTTAATTTACATAATTTCCAATGTAACAATGTAATATTATAAGATAGTGTCAGGCCTCAGTTCCAGAGGAAACCATTTCCTGCATTTCTATCAGGTAAATAAGGACTTAGGCAAGCTTTTTTGTATGTGTTGGGACTATGTACCTAGCAACTTATGACAAGTGCATTTTTATAGACCACATTCAAGTAACATAGGAAAAAAACTATACACTGCAGAGACTGTCTTCTGATTCATAAAACAGTCAAACATCAAATAAGTAATGTTACAAAATTGAAAGTATCATCAGCAAGGAGGAGTGAGGTATTTCCTTGAGCTTAGTATTACTACTACAACTTAGAAGAGGAGGGGTAGGATGAATAAAGAAGTACTAACTCCACCCTGCTCTCCAAGTGCCACAGCTTGGAGAAACTTCTCCAAGTGAATTTACAAAATTATAGTCCACATCCACTGGCTTCCTGTCGTTAGATGGTTGAGCTTGACATAAAGGGAAATTAAATTTGTCAAGAAGGACTTTCCCCTCATGAACCCTTGCTGGTTGTGACAAGCAATGACTGCATTGTCACTGCATAGTTTTTCAGTAACTCCTGGATTATTTTATCCATAATCTTACCAAGCGCTGCATTGAGACTGATAGTGCTGTAATTACCAACCTTCCTTCTCACCTTTCTTGAAAACTGGGATGGTATTTGCCACTTGAAGTAGACTGGGACCTTTCCAGACTGCCAAGGAATAGTAACGGAGAGAGGTCCTGCAATAACATCAGCCACTTCTTTCAGTACTCTGGGATGAATCTCATTGAGGCCCATGGATTTATGCATATCCACCTGAAGAAGCCTCAAACAAGCTCACAGTCAAATGGCAAGTTCATTGTCCCTCTAGTCATGGCCTTCTTGGAGACACCTGTGTGGATCCCACAGGCTATGACATTTAGAAGACAGAAGTGAAGAAGGCATTAAATGCCTCTGCTCTGTCTACATCCCTATTTGTGAGTTAACCTGTTCATTACTTGATGGAGTCAATTATTGTTGATTTTTATTTTTACAAGTTTGCTTCAGTTTCTCACTTTTTAAACACTCTACATAGCTTAATGTTAGATGATAAGTGTTTTAGTATTTTCTAAAATACTCAAAGTTTTCACATTGTTACTCAGAATTGAAGAACTCTAACAATACAACTTAGTAAATTCTAGCAACATGGTCTTCACGCCTATCCATTGAAATACCCTCAAGAAATTAGAATGTATACCTGATCTAGTAATGTTTCACTCATTGGTGGAATTAAACCAGGGAAGATATCATTGTCTTTGCTGGAGAATGTTCAGTTGAAGCCTTAATAAAAGCAGAATGACCAACCAGCTCACCTGTCCATTTCTCTCATGTAATTCAGGTGTCTGAACATGTGAAAATAGGAAAGGGAAGTTTAGATCCAACTAATCACTATTTTAATCTAACGTTTTCCTATGCTTTGCTAGCCACACATCAAACTTCAAAGCACTGAAATGGATACATACTTTAGACATGAATATTGTCAGTAAGAACTAAGAGTATGCTTTATGCCAAGGTTAGTGGTTTTCAAGCCATAGGAAACTCTGCTGCCAAGAGAAATATGCTCCTTCAACTCCACGCAATACTGGTTCACAGTATAAGGAGGCTCCAAGATGAGCATCCCCACCATCCCCACTCCTGAAAATTAATTCTGTGTGAAATCTAAGTGATATTGCCTGATTAAGTCACACAAGGAAGGAAGGAAGTACACTAATTTCCTAAAAGACAAAAAAGTTCAGTTCTATTAACATAAACAAAACAAAAATTAAAAATAGTTAAGTAAGCAGCAAGGAAACTAGAAATTTGAAGTTTGCATGAACATGTTCCTCGTTATTACCTATTATCATTTTAAGTATTCAAAACCAGTAAATCCCAGTAGTCAGGAACATACATTGCTCACACTGTAATTTAAGGGCAGACCAGACTGCACTCCATGTTTTTCAGTCACAACTTTTAGGATTTTAGGTAGAATTTGCAAAACTGATCTAGCTATTTCTACCACTGGTATCTGCCTATGAATAAACTCATTTTGCAAGAGGTTCCTATTACATCTCAAATTCCAGTCCTGGGGAAAATTCATAAAAATTCAAAGCCATAGAACATGTTAAGAACAAAGTTCTACCGTAGTGTCATACTACATGTACTCAACAGTCTTTGGCAAACCTCTTTCCAATGTATTCATACTGATGCAGCCCTGCTTGAAGTTAAAATAAACCATTATGCTAGCATTCAAACAATAGACTCAAATTCCATCTACTATGCACTGGAAGTGACAGAATTACACAAAAATTGAGTTTTGACATTCAGCTTGAGTATTTTCTCACTGGTGTGCACTTTACTCATCACATTAATTTAATTTGAATTAATTCCCCTTTAAAAGTATTACCTCCTTTCTAGAAAATGGTAATTCATAAATACATACGCATAATTTAAAAAACTAAACTAAACTTTTTCAATATACACAAGCATGTACTTCTTGAGTCATTCTGCTGTGCGCTGTGAATTCATGGAAATCTTAAATGGAGATGAAGGGAGATAAAACAATGCAGTCAAGTGTTAATCAAATGTGTGTGTTGTTCTCTTTGTATTTCCAAGGATGTGACATTGGATATGAGCCTTAAATAAGGACAGTGACACATTAAAATTATATAAACATCAGTTATTTTCTAGTAAATAAAAACCGAAAACTGTTGACTGCTTACAGTACTGGACACACACCCGTAGTGGGCTGGTGCTGGCCAGACACCAAGCAGCCAGCAAAGCCCCTCACTCACGCACTCACTCACCTCTGCAGTTGGACAGGGGAGAGAAAAATATAATGAAGGATTCGTGCGTTGAGGTGAGGTACCGAGGGAGATCACTCATCAAATACCATGATGGGCAAAACAGGCTCAACTTAGAGATATTAATTACATTTATTACTAAACAAAATTACAGCAGGACAATGAGAAGTAAATAAACCCTTAAAAACACCTTCCTCCCCACCCCTTTCTCCTTCCCAGCTCTACCTCCTCCCCCAGTGGCACAGGGAGACAGGGAGTGGGGGTTATGGTCAGTCCATCACATGTTGTTAATGCCACTGCTCAGGGAGAGGAGTCCTTCCCCTGCTGCCCTGTGGGTCCCCTCCCATGGGAGACAGATCTCCATGAACTTCTCCAGTGTGAGTCCATGCCACGGGCACACAGTCCTCCCCAAACTGCTGCAGCCTGGCTCACTCTTCCACAGGGTGCAGTCCCCCAAGGACAGGCTGCTCCAGCCTGGGAGCACGGCCCCTCTCTCCATGGGTCTCCCAGGGGGTTACAGCCTCCTCCCAGGCATCCACCTGCTCCAGCGTGGGCTCCTCCATGGGCTGCAGGTGGATCCCTGCATTCCCCATGGATCTCCATGGGCTGCACGGGAACCTTAGCAATCTGGAACATCTCCTGCTCCTCTTTCTTCACTGACCTCGGTGTCCACAGGGTTGCTCTTCTCACATGTTCTCACTCTGCTCTTCTCTGGCCGCAATTACAACTGCATAATAACTTTGGTATCACCATTTCTACTTTGCTCAGCCTTGGCCAGGAGCACATCCATCTTCAGAGCCACCAGAGATTGATTCTGACAAACATGAAGGAAGCTTCTGGCAGCTTCTCACAGAAGCCACCAATACAGCCCTGCCTCTACCAAAAACGTAAATCCTTAAGAAGTTATGTAACTCTGAAATAGAACTTTAAAACTAACTTATTTGAAAAAAATTGCATGGACAATCTTGAAAATGTCCTCTTTCTCTGTCTTCAGTAACCAAGTCAGCAACACAGTTTAAAAGACAGAATTTCAACATAAGAGAGGGTTATTTTGAAAGTCACTATTTTAAATAGTTACCAGGAGAATAGATCATGTCTTTCAAGTTCACAATTGTGACAATTTGTTGTGATGGGTGTCAGTAATTCCTATTTGTTTCAATGATCTGTGTAACACCATTGCTTTTGTTCTCTTCTAGAGACGTATCTCTTTTCTTAGTAAAAGTAGCAAACAGTGTATCCATCATTCCCAAAACTTCTAGTAATTCTTCTTGATAGTCAATTTCTTTTCCAATAGCTTGCTGGAGTTTCAAGAACTGTTTATCAACTATCTCTGACTGCCCAACCACAGGCTGATAAATGTCTGTAAAGAAAAATATCATTTAAAAATCTAAAGATGTATACAAGGCAAAAACTATTTTAGCTAGTTAGAGATACATTTAAGGGTTCCAGCACAAGTCCAACATTCTGAAAAACAAGACAACTTTAATGCTGTCTTTTCAGAAAGCAGTGGTTGTTTGTACTTACAGCAGCAGTATGTCAAACTAACAGAAACAGAAGTTTTTATTACCTCAAATACTATTTTTACCTCATTGAATAAGAGGAAGCTATTTGTACTATGTAAACACAGAAACATGAAGTATTAAAGGTACTTAGACACCACGAGGCACTTTCTGCAGCCTCTGCAAATCGAATCCTTACTATGATCAAAGTTATCTGGAACCATCTCTTTTTTGGATCATTCGCTAGATACTAAGTCTACACAAATAAACAAAGCCATAACGACTTGGTTTCTTTAAAACATTGAACTTTCAATCTTATTTGCAAGCTAGCTATATGGTTTTGAGAATCTTTTCTGTGTTGTCTTACCAGTGATCATATCGGCAACAGTCACCAGCACAGGAGTAAATCTAGGCTCAATCACACGCCTGCAAAATTAGAAGACATTCCAATTTTACTGGTTTTGTCAACTGCATTCCACCACGACCAAACAGCTTTCTCACACAGGCATACAGACAAATTTTTCTTGGTAAAGAGACAAGGCAGAACAGCAGTCAGAGATGCAAGTCAAAAAAACCTACATATGTGGTATTTACCCTCCTCTTTTCAGGAGGGAATGGGGATTGGAGGAGTGTCAAAAAGCCTCGAGTACATGAAAACAGTTTTCATCAAGGAGAGAGAAAATAAAAGACTAAGGATAGTGTCTGGCTAAGTAGAATATCTCATACTATAAACAAAACTGTTCTGTGCTAACAGGTAAACCTTTTTCAAACCTATCCCAAAACTTTGGTATCAGAAAGAAAAAGGCATGTGAGATTTCAGGAATACCAGTGTTCCACCTCTGATCTGTTGAAATTCTGTGGCAAGTTATTAGGAAAGAGAAGCATCAAAATAGTGAGAGGGAACTCGTGTTAAAATAATACCTTGCCACAAAGGTAAGCAGGAGATTAACTTGCTTCTCATCTCGGCCTGCAAGTGCACTTCTCAGTGTTCCTCTTCGATGTAGCTCCTGCATGACTGCAACTGTGACTTCAGGAGTATGAAGCATGATGGGTGGCTGGACATATATAAAAAGAGTTCAGTACCAAAGCAACATCTTCACACGAAACACAGGGCTGGTGTCAGCAAAACTGAAATGGAACCCAACTTAATATTCTTTCTAGTTATACACTAAAATAAATTAGTACGACATACAGGAAAAATTAACATCAGGTGACAGCACAAAACTCTGACAAGAAAAAAGAACAATGCCTCACCTCCATTACTGCATCAAGAGCCTTGGAAGACTGAAAGCTTCTCAGAAGCTTATCATATTTTCTCAAAACACGTTTTACAGGTTTACTGACACAGAAATCTTCCTAGAATTCAACAAAAGATTTCAGAGTAAGACAAATACACACAAACATAATGGACTAGATATATTACCATGAACAATTTTATATATTCCCTCCCTTCCCTTTCTCCAATTTAGCACATTCCAAGAAACCAATTTTTCAGAAATGTTTCAGCACATATTTTCTTACATCATACCTGTTTTGGCATGTAAGTTCTTCCTTTCACATAGGTTCTATAGGCTGGTTGTCTCTTTTTTTGAGAGTTTTCAATCTTTTCTTCCGGTTTTCTGTGTTTAACATTTAGCACCCCATTGGTCATACCTACAACTATGGTTTCATCTTCAGGCTAGCACAAAGAAATCACAGAGTTAGGACCCAGTGTTTTATTTGTGCTCTATAATGCATGTATGTGTTCTATCATATACGTTTTTATATTTTCATGCTTCGTGATAAGGTTCAAATCACAGTATCACGATAACTTCAAGTGGAAGGCAACTCTTTCAGTTTCAATGATTGAATACCTTGTTTAAAGCAGGAAGAGCTTCAAGGCTATGGTCATAAGCAACATTATAGACTGATTAGTGAATCAAACTCAATTATGCATTAACACCCTTCTGTAACTATAAAGTTTTGTTTTTTCTAATGGCATACAACTACCTTGGGCTATTAGGTACCATACAGCAGGCATGAACAGAACCCAAGAGAAAGCAAAACTATCACGGAGCAGCAAGATTTTGAGGAACAATTGAAAGTTGTTCAAAACACCAGTCACTGGTATAGGTATTTTCACTTATATAACGAAGTGAGTATAAATTTCACCCAGGAAAACTGTGGATGCCCCATCCCTTGAAGCATTCAAGGCCAGACTGGATGGGGCTTTGAGCGACCTGGTCTAGCAGTGTCCTTGACCAGGGCAAAGGGGCTGAAGCCAAATGACCTTAATATCCCTTCTAACCCAAGCCATTCTATGATTCTATGATATGATAAAAGCCTACAGAATTATGACAGGTATAGATGGATATCAGCTGGTGAATGGCTCATTTAAGGGCATCGATTGAAGCTCACAAAGATTCAAGTGGAACAATAGGAAGCAATTCTTCACACAAGTATCAGAAATATGGAACTCCTTGTCAAGGAATCTAGGCAAGGTTTCACGTTTAATCAAGCTCAAGGAGAGACTGAACCAGCTTATGTAACAGAAATAATTCACTGAGTTACACCAAAACTACATGAGTTCAATTCTCATCTGAAAATGGAATCTGAGAGGATATCACCACATTTGCCCTGGGTTTAGTTTTCTATACACATTTACTTATGGCTGGCTATAGCTGGAAGCAGTGTCTGGAATTAGACCCACCTTAGGTTTGACTCAGTAAAGGCATTATAATGTTCTCGTGTGACCATTTAAAATTCAAATTATTTAATCAACAGAAAACAAGATTATATTTCAAAAGACGTGTTATACACACTCTAGAGATGCTAAACTGTAAGTATTGCATATTTTGCAGATGGGTCTTAAAAGACAATGGATTCTGTACTCTTCACTTCAAAAGTAAAAAAACATCCAAGTTTATTTTAGCTCAGCTCCCTAAGTAATGTGGTAGGAAATGAAAACATTCCCTATACATTCTTTCCTCTACATTCCAGCAGAGCAGGACAATAGTAAAGCAGCAAAGATAGCAAAGACAGGCCCAAAGATAGGCCCATTCACACGTCCTTCAGAGGCTACATAAAGGGGTACTACACGACAATAGTATTGTTTAAAAACTGGTGCTAGCCTCCAAATTTCTGGCCAGCAGGTCACTTATCTAATGGAAATCAAGTGCTTCTGAGAAGTCTCTGCTGTCTGCTTCCAAGACATGGCGGGACAGACAAATTTGTTTATGCTCAAGCCCTTCTTTTTCCCTCAGACCAACTTGACACCACCAACTTTTAAAGCAATTTCACGCTCTATTCTAAATCTCTCAACAAATTAACTACTTTTTTTTATTGCTGCCATGCAAGAGGACTCATAGCATTCCCACAAAGCTGAGTACAATCTTCTGAAAGTGAAAGGGCCTCCCTTCTAAAGTGAATACTTTCCCTATGATGTACACTGTCATTCATAAACACAAGATCTTGTACTGATCTAGTCAGCTAAGGTACTTGTGATACCTGTGACTCATCTAGTCTAGTCAGGTATTTGAATCTATTATATTTAAAACTTCTTAGCGTTTGCTACTCAAGAAAAACATATTCAATCACCCTACTTTGCATGTACAGCATTCTTCTGGAACACCCGATAGCCGTGAAAGCAACAATTATTTACTTTAGTGACTTAAAAGGTATCAGGAATTGTCTAGGAAGATTTCTAATGCACTTACCGACAGTGCAAGACTGAGGATGGATGTTGCATAGTTGAAGCTGTGGACTACTTTGTAGGATGTAGTACTGTAAATCTTCACATGCCTACACAGAAGAGTAAAGATAAAAACATTGTTAGTAAAGTTTTACTGTGGTCACTTTACGGGTACTTCATCACTCTCATCTTTGAAGGAAACTGAGTATTAATACAATGGATTCCTCAGACTACCATCGAGCTTCTTAGGTATTACTCCTGCAACAGTAATGTTCTATTAAAAGGTATCTACAAGCCAAGTTAGGATTGTTCTTGCCCCAAAAAAGGTGAAAATGTGGCAAGAACAGAAAAAAAAATTTAAGGCAGTGTAGCGACTATTTGAATTCAGAAATGCATATTAGGAAAACACTAAGACAACGTCTCTTCAAATTTGTTCTTAAATTTTAAATACAAGATCTACAAGCAATTTCTGGGAATAAATACATAGACATTCTTGTATCCAGCTGCCCCTTAAGGATTTGGTTGGAAATACGATATATTTAACAAGTTGGTAAACAAAATATTATATCAGAAGACTGAAATTTAGTGTTTTGTGATCATAAAGCCTGAGGAAGCCTAGGAAATACAGGAGGAAGGAGGAAAACAGACCCACTGTCATTTCAGATCACTTCATATTTCTAGTATTTCAGACACCAACTACCAGTACTCATCAACTGAAACCAAACAAAGAAGCAACCAAACCAAAGCAAAGAGGTCATGCTCACAAACACTCTTGGGTGTAAGAAGCAACAGCGGAGAAGCACGAAACCCAGGCTTTTTAAAAAGTTTAGCTATCTTTTAACTATTCTTAATTTTATAACAGTTTAGATAGCTAATTTACAAAGACTGGAAAGATCAGTTTAGTGACTAAAAAAACCAGAATACTTATCCAGAAGTTCCCCATATGCATTCCCAAATGGCACACACAACCCTTACTGATATTCAGATTAGCAAGAGGAAAAGGTTAAAGTGTATCATATAATCATAGCACAGTTTGTGTTGGAAGGAACCTTTTAAAGCTCATTTAGACTAAGGCCCCTACAAAAGCAGAGACAGCTTTGCAGTAGGTACCTTGGCCAAAAACACATTCTCAAATAAAGCCGAAAAACCACACACAGGTTAACAGTGATGTGAAATAATATCTTTCAAAGAATAGAAATCCTAAAGAACACAAACATAAGGAAGCCACAAAATATACCAACCTGTCCAGGGATCCTGACAATAACCTTTGTCCAGAGCTGTTCAGGCACAAACAAGTTACAGTTTTATGGTGATTTTTAAGTGAAACTAGTAACTGTCCACCTTTTAGTACATCCCAAACTTTGACATATCGACCTCCTGTGAAGAGGAAGCACACAAAACAGCCTTATGTATGTACACATTTATGCTTCTCTGAAGAAGTTTTCAGAGTAATGCAGTATCTCCACAGGTACTTTTACCTCCTAATAGTTTTCTGCACCTACTCACCATCCTTCCATTCTATCTCCTGGCACAAGCCTGATCTTTTTATAGGTCATTCTGAAATGGAGCTGAATGATTCAACCATTCTCCAACCATATTCATTACAAAAAAAAAAAAAAAAAAGAAAGCGTATAACCTATGGGGTTACAGGACTTCTGATGCAATGGCAACAAGAGACTAAAAAAGCTTGAAGAGAAAGGTTTTGAAAAGATGGGATTGTGTCTAAGTATATTAATTCCTTCACTTTTGAAGTGAGCTAATTAAAGTCTGCATTTTGTTATTAAAAACAACTTGGGGGGGGAACTGGCAACTACACGAATATCAAAACAAAGACAAAACAGGAAGACCCCCTACTTGCATCTGCCAGATAAACAGAGATTCCTACAGAAGATTCTAGGATCCTACAGATTCCTACAGAAGATACTTGAGAAATCCAACTGTTACATCACTTACCACTTCCCTATCAAACTAAAACACCACAGAAAAAATAAGCAGCTGAAGTATTTCCCAAATGAGGACCACAGGAAAGATATTCGATTTATCAGATTTTAGAAAATTACCTGCAGATACTAGAAGTCCACCAGATGGAAACAGAAGCACACTCTCCACGGGATGGCCGTGTTCTATTGTCATGACACTACTCTTTGCTCGTGCATCAAACAGTTTCACAGTGTGATCATAGGAACCTGCAAAAACCAGCATAAATCAGTTTAATAATTTCAACTAGTTCAAGGAACTAAAACAGCCATGTCCTACCATCTAAAGGAGTTCCTGGCTAATTGCAATAGTTTTAAACTATTTTAAACTATATTTAAACTATACATGTAAAAACACCTTGTAATTTACCTTGGTTAGTTTACAGCCTTGGGGCAACATAAATATTTAAATTCTAGCCCTAGCTAGATGCCAATCTATAAAATTAATTTGTTTTCATTTCACTTCCATTAATCAAGTGTATTTATAACAATAAATATCAAGCAGCCTGATAAAACCTGGCCTCTTGTGCCTCTTGAAAAAAGGAACAGTAGTTTTTTTTCACAGTTTCCCACAGACTGATACAAAGCTACTGCTAGGAAAACCAAAAGCAACTGGTTACAAGTAACTCCACGTGACCTCACATTTTTCAGTCTGCCAGTTATGGGCTGTACAGACTAGTGCTCTGCTCCAGAAATCGGGTAAAACATTTCAGTGACTCCCAGGCAAAGGATACATTCACAGTATTTTCTTTCAAAAGTTCTGTTAACCCTAATAGGCTAAACCAAAAAGATGTTGAAATTCAGTTACTGCAGTTTCTCCATAAACACCAATGTCAAGCTTAAAAAGCAGGCGAAAAAAGGAAACAACAAAGTAGGCATTGCACAAGCAGACTGATCTTTCATGACTAAAATACAATAAACACAGCCCTACTGTATCAAAAATTATCTTTCAGAATTTTTCTTCAATCCAAAGAAGTATAAATCAAAAATAAAACCAGACCTGTTATGAAGACATCTGCATTCACTTTACTTGCACAGCCGCATCTCACATAGTCAGTATGTTCATTGTAAGAGATGATTTCTTTGGCAGTTGGAATATCCCACAAAGTTGATGAATAATCATCACCACCAGAATATACTCGGTATTTATCAGACAGGAAGCCCACTACATGAACTGGTCTAGAAAACAAAGTCCACAATACCCAAAGTTAAAACATATTCATGTTTCAAGAAGAGTTAGTCTATATCAAGTGTTTATTAAAGTGCTCTAACCTAGAAGTGCAGTGTTTAATATCAGAACTTAAAAAGCCTCACTATATAAGAGCAAATCTCAAATATGGCTGCATTGAACAGTCCTCTTGTCCTTTAAAATCCCTACTGAAGTCTTTATTATCACTGTTTAAATATCCGAGAGATGTTGGCAGAATGCACAGGTATGCAAATACGGGTGTGCACAGGTATGCAGTTAACCTAGCCATTAGAACGTAACACTCAATTTGCAAACAGACCTCAAACAGAAACGCTCTTAAGATCAGTCTTGGTACTTTCCACTGAAAGGGAGATTCCTGTTGCTCTACCTAGATAAAACACAACTTGATCTTTCATAGCACATTAGTCTGTTGAAGCATTATCATTTTCTTCTCCTCACTGATACATGAGAACTCCTAACTTCTTCCCCACCCCACACTACCATTATGCACTTTCTCGGTTGTTTTTGGAGCTTTTTCTTAAGGAATTCCTGCTTTTCCTGGTGTATTACTTCACTGGTTTTGTTTAAACACTTTTTAGAACTCTTTTCCTAGCAGCATCAAATAAAATGTGCTTATCAATGCAATGTACTCACAAGACTTTATCTACACAACATATTAAGAGACACCCACATGAAACAGGAAATGTATTTAGTCTTCTACATACTTGATTCATGTTTAGAATTTTTTAAAACTCAATCCTATTTAAAATTCAACTTTAAAATCTACTTTCCAGTAAGATCTACAAGAGGCACTCAAAGCAAGGTAAGTCAGTATTATTCAGATTTTCAGCAGCATGTGAAGCTGACAATTTAACATAAATATTGTATATTGCTGAGACACTTGAACAGGTTGCCCAGAAAATACGGGGATGCCCCTTCCTTGGTAGTGTTCAAGGCTAGGCTGGAAGGGGCTCTGAGCAACCTGACCTAGTAGCGAGTGTCCCTGCCCTGTGGCAGGGGGGCCGGAACAAGACGATCTTTAAGGCCAAACCATCCGGCCTGTGACAAGTTTGTGACATGCAAATATAGCAAAGCTTAGGCACGCAAACGAAACAAACCAATTCTGCCTTACTTGGTACGACCCTTGAACTGCCTCAGCGTTGCTTTGCCGCTGACGTCGAAGAGGCAGATGCTGCCGTCTTCGCTGCCGGCGACGAGCAGGCGGCCGTCATCCCTGTAGGTGGCACAGTACGCCACGTCCCGGAATCGAGAGAACGTCTTGATGGGCTCCTGGGAGTAACGGCCATAGATGTGGATCTGGCAAAACAAGAGGGCATTACATCTTCTTCTGTGATACCAACTGAAGAACAAGAGCATAAAAACCTCAGAAAAGCCACTTACCCTCGAGGATGCTGTGACAGCGTAGTTATACGGTGGGACTGGGGAGAAGTCAATTTTATTTACTGCACCGAATTCCTTTATCTGAACAGGTGTCTAAAACAATTATGATAAAGATCATTAAATACACATAAGCACACGATCCGTATGAAAACAGAAAACTTAAAACTACTTTTACTAAAAGTAACTCAAAATTCAATCACAATCAAAACGGTTTCTAGATACATAGATAGTGAGTTTCACTTCTGATAGACTACTCCTGCTCTTGTAATTTTTTTCCCATTTGCGCATTACAACTGACCCACTGATTTCGTGTTTTGAGGTTAAAAACGAACTCATGCGTGCTTAAAAAACATTTTAACTGCACGAAAATAGTAAAAAACGACATTCTGGGGCAATAACTGCGACTGTTTTTCGCTTCTTCCTACCTTGTATCCCCGCCAGTACAACGTGTCCTGCGTGATTTTCTCCCCGAGCTTGGGGCATGCCTGGACCACCACTGGCTTGTACGCGGCCATGACGCACGGGGCGCGGGGCCGGGCCGGCGGGGGTTCGGCGCGGGGGCTCGGCGGGAGAGGCTCGGGAAGGGCCGATGGGCTCGGGCACACGGGACACGCTGCGGGCCGGCGATGGCGGGCACCGCGCCTGCCGCGAGGAGAGATGGCGGGCGCACCGGCAGCGCGTCATCAGAGCGCGCCTCTCGGCGGCCAATCGGCGGGGCGGCGAGGCCCCACTTCCGGCGAGGGGCGGTGGCGGCGGCTGGAAGCCGAGGTGAGGCCGGGCCCGGGACCGCGATCGTGCGGTGTGGGCGTCCCGCCCTCGGGCCTGTCCTCACGGACTCTCTCTAAGAGGAGGTGACGGCTCCAGGCGTGCCAGGAGGTGCGCGAAGCGCGGCCCCGCCTGAGGCTTCCCGCGTTACTGTGAGCAAGCCGCGGGTATTCTGGGGTTACCTGTATCGGTTTAAAAGGGATTGATTTTTTTTCCTGCGTATGTGGTAGAACCCATTAATTTTATTTAGGTTGCGAAAGGTATAAAGGAGCTTGAAGTTTTTCCTCAAGTCTAATGTTTCTGGGTGATAAAGTTATCTTCTTATAGTTTGTTCCTGGCTTGGTGTAAACCTGGTTGGTTGATGTGTGGGATTTTTTGTTGCAAGTAAGCAAGTATTTTGAAGCATCGTTTTTTGATGCATGGATGAAACTCTTACTGGCTTAATAATAGAATTTGGTTAAAACGTCAAGTGCTGAAACATAAATGGAGGTTTTGGCGACCAACTTGTAACAGCAACAAGATTGATATTTCACCAATGTTTTGACTGACAAAACTAAATGCCATAACCTTAAATAAAGTTTGATATGTTTTTATGCATTGTTTTACCAGAATGTTCTTAATTTGTCCTGTCTGTTCAGTTGCAGGTTGTCCAGAAAATTTGGCTTGGCCAGCCAGAATTGCCCCTGGCTGGAAACAATGAAGCATCATTTTGCATGAAACTTGTACAGGACTGAGATCATGGCATCTTCAACAAACTTAGATGTCGGGGCCCAGTTAATTGTGGAAGAATGTACCACAAGCTACAGCCTTCCACCCATGCCAGACATCAAAGTGGAGCATCAGCTTGACACCAGCACAGAGGAAGGCCCAGCTCAGAGTGTCACCATGGGGATGAAATTCATTTTGCCTAATAGATTTGATATGAATGTCTGCTCACGATTTGTGAAGTCTTTGAATGAGGAGGACAGTAAAAATATTCAAGATCAAGTCAACTCTGACCTTGAAGTCGCATCTGTCTTATTTAAAGGTTGAATTTATGGTACAAAATATTATCTGTGGACTGTGTCATCCTGTTAAGATATTATGTCTTCTAAAAAAAACCCTTCTGCATTATATGTGTATTGATCAGTTTTCTAAGATGTGTTCCTCTAATGTTTTTATTGTATGCTTAATGGATTATTAATATAAAAAATTTTTCCAATATTAATTTTTATACTACATTTTAAATATTTATATTAACTGAAAAATTAGTGGCACAAAAAGTCTCTTAAGTTATTAAGAGCTGATGCTAATTAGGAAAACAAGCTGCTTCTGTATGGCATGTCCCACAGCAGTATGCTTCTTTAGAAAACACTTCTGAAAGCGCTAAACGATCACTTCAGCTTCAGTAGCTTTCAGCAGCATGTTGTATCTTTTCATGAGAGTAATGAAGGATAATGTAGGCCACAGGTGTTTTGTCACTGTGGCTGTACAAAGCCCCAAGTCCTAGCCATGGGCTTGCCACTGAAGCTTCACACTATCTGAAAGCAAATTCTGCTCCAGGTCTGGTTCCTTGCAGCTAATCCAGCCATTGCTGGGCAGCTTCATCAGAATTGATCCATGCGTTTTCACAGCCAAGGATACTGATACAGAGCAAAGTTAGGACTTCCATCTACTTCCCCTTAACAATTGTGATTTCTAGCACTTGCTGTCGTATTTCAGACCGTTAGTGGTGTATCTTTTCATGAAGTTCATGTGACCTATTTCCTGTATTTTGTGTAATGCAAACACAGGCTTACTTTGAATTTTGATGGTTTCACTGACTTGAGTTGTTTGGCTGAGCTGCAGGTTGAGTGGCAGATTTACACTCACCAGCAATAGGGTTGTTTTTCTGAGGTAACGTTTGTAAATCCTTTAGAAGTAGTCCTGCACATCCAGGGACCACAGGTCAAAATCTGTGGTAGGACTCAATTCAATACAGTCAGTTGCAGCTGTTTGATTGGCAAACAAAACATAATTTTGTTTTCAGTTACACTCTACTTCTTTTAATTAGTTCTCTCCCTAAATTTGTGCTTGCATTTATGATCACAGAGTTCTGTATGGTGCTAATTCAGTGTGTGTGTTAATTAGCTTCTGGTCATTAATTACTGGTGCACACTGGTGTCAAATCAGTTAAACTAATATGGAGTTTAATCTTTCAGTATGTCTTTTCAGCATTTAATCTCAAAACCAAAAGCTACTTTTGAGAATTAGAAACCAATACAATATATTCTATAATAAAATGCCATTAGCGTTTAAGAGAAAGCAAGAAAAGAGTGTGAAGGAACACATCAGCAGCGAATGACTTCCTGAATTATATGCAGTGACCTGCTGTAGCATTTTATGTAAATTAGTGTGGAATCTGTCTTCCTGCTGGATAAGTATTCATCAGGCATTCATAATGCTGTTAAAATTTTATCCAGGAGTGGGAAGAGCCCTGGTGAAGAAAGTTAATGAAGGTTGTCTCCACTTGTGTAGTGAACTGGTTAGGGAGCAGGCAAAGGCTGAGCAGGTACCTGAGTGCATGTCTGACTAGAGCTCCATCATGTTATTGCCTTGAAGATGATTTGCCATAAGAAGATGACAAGTTAAAGTAGAGACTTCTTAAGTAATAAATCCATGCCAGACATGTTGAAAATCTAGACAAAGTCTTACCTCATTTAGACACTAACTTGTCTCTGGGTGACATTATGCCATACTGAAAATGTGAAGTAGCATAATTGTTTTGTGCTAGAAATTAGTGCAACCCTTTTTTCAGCTTTCATAATACACAGTAGGAAAAGCACATGTCATAAAGCTTCCTTAACATGGATTTTAAAGATCTTGTGATACTGGTGCTTTACAGTTTGATTTAGAATCTGTGGCTTGATTTAATGCTCTTACTAGTACTGAAATCCTCTCTGTTTCTGTTCAATGTAGCTGAATGCAACAGCCACACTTCTCCTTCCCCTGGTATCCAAGTAAGACATGTTTATACTCCATCAACTACTAAGCATTTCTCACCAATAAAACAATCAACTACACTAACTAACAAACACAGGGGAAATGAAGTATCTACAACACCTCTACTTGTAAACTGTAAGTATTCTTCTGCCTTACTATTAATAATTATTTTGTGAACTCCATGTTGAGTGCTTGACAGATTCATGCAGTTTTTTCTTTGGTGTTGCAATGAACTTTAAGGTAGGAAGAAAACACTCAGCTAGTCTTGTCTAATTTCACATGGGTCCAACTATATAATAGTCATCCACCTGCTGTATGGAATTCATAACTGAAGTTTACTTTCCAGAAAGAAAAACACCAGAAAATCCCTTACATGTACTTTTAAAATCAAGACTTAGATTCTGAGTTGTAAGTTAATGTACTCCCTGCCCATGTTTTCAGAACTTGTGCATCTTAAAATTAGATGATTGGATAATACTTAAGATGTAATGTAAATGCAGAATACTGCAAGTGTCATGATTATCATAGATCTTGAAAATCAAGGAAGCATTATTTCTGGTGGGAGTTTTTTTCTGAATTGTCGAGCATTTCCTTTATAAATTAATTTGTTGTAATTTACTTTGTTAGTAAATTATTTTCTCTATAAATTACAAGTCAGTTTTTCTAAAGAACAATGCAACTTGCATGGAAAAAATTAATCAAGAGCTGCTTTCTGGGCCACTGAACAAAATATGCCATCTTTTTAAACAAACTAAACTTCCTTGTAGTGACTTGGAAGAGAACAGTGAACATTTACAGTTAATGTAATCATTAGCTAATTTTGTTACTACATCATGTGGATAATTTCTTGCATATGGCCTCCTGAGCACCTTTCAGGCTGTTCCAAGTGGCAGTTGTCAAAACCATACACCCATACATTTTTTTGTAGGATCGGAGGTTATTTCTTCATAATCTCTGAAATAACAAAAAAATCCCACAATCTTTGTTTTGTCCTCTATATGTCAGGTTGTACGTAGGTTTGTAATGTCTGATCTATTCCACATTGTAGTGAGTGAAAGTCACACTAGAGGCTTTCTTTGTTGAGTAGGAGGACAGGTCTTCTGGTGATTCAAGTGTGATTTTTAAATTAAACATCCTTAATTTATCAAAATATGTTTATTTTATTTGATAAAAGGGTCTTAAAGTAATCTTGGGTTGCTGACCAAACAGCAGTGAAGAGAGCATGTTACTTTGCAATGAGTCAGTGTGGGAAGCATCCTTACTTTTAAGAATGCTGCATTGGTTTAAAAATGACCTAAATCTATGAAACTCTTTGGAAATTTTCAGTTTTTAAATGTGATTTAAGTTCAGAGTGTAAGGTGAAATTATCTACAGTCTCGATTCCAACTTCTGTACTGCTGAAGCCAATGGGCATGTTATGCTCAGCTCTAAATAGAGCAGAATGAAAACTGATGTATGTAACACATGCTTTTGCTTCCTTTTTTGCAGCTTTATCAGTTCATCAGCTGGCTGCTCAGGGAGAAATGTTATATCTGGCCACACGTATTGAACAAGGTGAGACCAGAAGGAGGTTAAATGCCTTTTCTTTCCTTTGGGCCATTTATATGCTGTTCTGTTTCACCTTTTCCCCAAAGCGATAAAGTCCTCAATTCTGGTACAGATTGGAGGATATTTGAGGTATCTGTTCTTTGCAGATGTGGACTATTGTTTTGTATCAGTCTATTACTCACTCACTGTATGATTAGCATTTTAAATTAAAACATTAATTTTAATAGGAGTACGTAAATCCCTTCCTCTCCCTGCTCTCTAGCTATATAGGTAATCCATGGAACTAAGAAAGAAATATATTAGCTCTGTCACAGCAGTTTATTTTTATTTTATTTTATTTTATTTTTAATTTATCTTTGTCATTTAAAACATCTTTCTATTAATGGTGACCTTCCAATTCTATGTAGTCAATCAGAATAAAGACCTACGTGTCGCTAATTTAAGCCATGGGTCACATCTGCAATGTAATAGTACTGCACATTCTGAATAGTGTAGCATTTGTGTGTCCATACTACATGTAAAAAATTTAAGCTCTAAGATATTTATGAATATAGTAATATTAAGAGTATATTCTTACTGTAGTACTAGTAATCACCCGTGCTTTTCAGTGCATCCTTGTTGAAATGTTTCACTGAGTCTAAATACTTTGTAATGAGCCATGTATATGAAAAGTAAATCAATTCTGGAGTGTTGGTAGCAGCTAAAAATGCTTGTTTTGGTGCTATAAGCATGGGATTTTTGAAGTACTTAGTACTTATTAAACATAAATCCTGATAAAATATTTTTCAGCCAATTGTAAAAAGAAGTTCTTTTTATCTTCTTCTAGTTGCTCTCAATGTAGACCTTAATTGTTTTCACAGACCACCTTATTGATTACATGAACTTCATGGGGTATGGAGTTGTTTTATCTATATTGCTGTACAAGTTCATTCTTTGCAAAATTGTGTGGCTCACTCTATTGAAAAAAGCACAGTCTACAGTATGTAGATGTAGATGTACAGGATGTACCTCTTTATTTTTCAAACATCCTTTATCTTCTTTACAAAGGCGAAGCCCAGATTACAGACAATGTGTGATATTTCTGAGTAAAAACAGAGTTTGATGTGTAGAGCGTAGCAACTTAAATTATAAATTATTAAACTTAAGGCTGAAATTTAACTTTGGTCAGTTGGATATATTTTTCTTTCTTGGACAGAGATACTGCTACCACCACTGGAGATGGAATCTTGTTTTTAAAGTTGAGAATGACTTTTAGGTCACCCTGGTTCCTGGTGAATAAATGTTACCATCAACACATTTCATTATACAGTGCATTGTGAAAAGGATTATTAAGTTATATATTTTTCTCTGAACAGAAAATTTAATCAATCATAAGGATGAAGAAGGATTTACCCCTCTGATGTGGGCTGCAGCTCATGGGCAGATAGCAGTAGTGGAATTTCTCCTCCAGAATGTAAGGAAATAAGCACCATTGATTTTTAATTCCTTTACTGTTTAGTTTGTTTTTCTTCCTAAGTTTGTCGATGCTGCTACAAGCTTAAAAGTTTTAAAGTTAAGGTCTATGTAAAAACCTCAATTTTGCTTTTTTTTTTCTAATTGATACTTTATTTCAGGGTGCAGATCCTCAGATTCTGGGGAAGGGGAGAGAAAGTGCCCTCTCACTGGCCTGCAGTAAAGGATACACAGATATTGTCAAAATGCTGCTCGACTGTGGAGTTGATGTCAACGAGTATGACTGGGTAAGACTCTAACTTGAATTTAGTCAGAGGGTGCTTTGGTCAGAAAATTGATGCAGGACATAGCACTGGCCTGAATTTAAAAATTGTTCTACCTCTTCTGAAATACCTGAGAGTTTAAAAACTTCCATAGGATAGGAGAAGTTAATGCTAGTAGTTCTGACTTCTTCGTAGAAAGAGAATGAGACTATTGCTGACTTCTTATAGAAGTGTGATCTTAGCATTTGAACAGTAGACAAAAATTATGCAAGTTGTGAAGATCTGAAACAGAACCTCATTTTTATAAAACCTAGGAAGTCTCTTAATGGTACATGGAAGCATATTCATGTGTTAAGGAATTACAATTGTGGACTAATCACTGAGTGTCTGAGGCATTTCTCTGCTTTTGCAGAATGGAGGCACACCCTTGCTATATGCAGTACATGGGAACCATGTGAAATGTGTAAAAATTCTTCTCGGTAAGCAAACTGTCCAAACCAAATTATCAGTAATAATGTATAATCAGTTCTCATTGTCAGAAATGGAAGATTCTATTCCTGTTTTAAACAGAAAATGGTGCTGATCCAACTATCGAAACGGATGCTGGCTATAATTCCATGGATTTGGCTGTTGCCTTGGGCTATCGGAGTGGTGAGTATTGTAAATGTAAACCCCTTCTAAAAATTCTTAATTGTTACAGCTCCTCATTTATGTAGCTGCAGTAATGGCCTAGTAGAGGTTTTGCAGCTCTTAACATGTTACCTGTCCTTCAAGTCTTAATAATCCTAAATGCATCAGGGCAAAATGGGTAGGACGTTCCATTCTTGTTTCAGAAAATCAGGTACTTAGCAAGAAAATTTCACTGACCTGTATCTGTATCACTGGACACAAATAATGGAGTTTAGAGCTGATGTAGCCATGACTTAGACAAGGGGAGCTGAGCTGCTCCCTCACCCTATACAAAGGAATGTGTTACTGGACAGTGGTAAGAGGCCTGCACCCCTTCTGAGCCCCTTGCTCTACTTGACTGGCATGATGTTAGGTAGTTTGCAAGACCTTCAGCCAGATCAGCTCTAGCTCTAGTTTGTCTCGGAGGCAGAGAGTAACCAGTGAATTATACTATGTAGTTTGATTATGGAAACCAGAACAAAGAAGGGACTCCTTGTTGTTTTTTTCCCTTATTGCTGCTGTCATTTTGAAAGCTGTGAAGTGTCTGCCATTACAGAAATTAATGGAATCAAAAAATAATCCCAGCACTGTGTGTGTAGCTTCTCCAAGCAGAGCCCTTGCTTATGAATGAGCCAATGTCATGGTTTAACCCCAGGCAGCAGCCAAACCCCACATATCCACTCACTCACTCCCCCACCAGAGAGATCAGGGAGAGAATCAAAAGGGTGAAAGCTGGAGAACTTAAGGCTAAGAAAAAGGGGAAAACAAAGGCTGTCCACACAAGCAACACAAACCAAGGAAAATTAATTCAGTGCTTCCCATGAGCAGGCAGGAGTTCAGCCATCTCCAGGAGAGACGGGCCCCACCATGCCCAGATTTGGTTACTTGGGTAATGGTTACTTGGGAAGACAAATGTCATCTCCACAAATCCCCCTCCCTCTTTCCTGCTTCTTTCCCCCACTTTATACTCGGAGCTGGGTGCCACATGCTCTGGAATATCCCTTTGGTCAGTTGGGGTCACCTGTCCTGGCTCTGTCTCCTCCCAACCTCCCAAGCACCCCCAGTCCCCTCACCAGTGTGGCAGCACCAAAGCAGAAAAGGCTTTGGCTCTGTGCAAGCCCTGCTCAGCAATAACAAAAACATCTCTGTATTATCAACCCTGTGGTCAGCACAAATCCAAAACACAGCCCCATGCCAGCCAATGAGAAGAAAATTAACTCTACCCCAGCTGTAAACAGCACAGCACAACTTCACACAGAAGTCTACATAGAAGACTGCTTCAAGAGCTTAATCTCAGTTTCACAGAAGTTGTTTCTAATAAATGCTTTTGCCTGCTTTCTGTTTGAAGGCAAAAAATTTGCTTTCCATGTGCTATCAGCCTATTCAAACCAAAAAACTGATGATGAGCTCCAAAAACATTGTTTGTCTAACTTGGTGTATTGTTTTTGCATTATATAAGGCTTTTATCTTCTGAAGGAATGCTGATTTTATTCACAGAGTGAATTTATACATGTCTGGTTTTCATTAAATGATTGCACAGGACAAGCAAGTATCTGCTAGAAAAAAACAGTATAACCCTAAAAATACAAAAAAAATCAGCACTAATTAACCTCATCTCTTTCTCTGCTTTAGTTCAACAGGTTATCGAGTCTCATTTATTAAAGCTACTTCAAAATATCAAGGAATAATGGTTGGCTCTTATGAAGGTGCCACATCTTGGCTTGGAGATTTGAACTGCTCTTTAGCTCTAATTAGTGACAAGAGTTGGTTGTTTTGTAGCTTTACCTCAGTGCAACTATTTGCTGGCTTTAGTTAAGCTTTTTTTGTGCTCTTCTTTCACTGTTGTTAATACAAATGTGCAATGTCATCCCTTTCTTAATTATATTTTATATAATTTTAGAAGAGTCAATTGTTGTGCATGAAACACTTTGTAAATAAACCTGGTGTTGACCATTTAAATGTTTACACTGAGTGCACTGGGTGGCACTATGCCAAGCGTCCTACTTCATCACATCGATACATATTCACGGGAAGAAATGCGTTTAGATATTGAGGGATATCATCACAGAAGACAGATATCAGTATTGTTAATAATAGCAAAATATGCACTGTGTGTGAAATTTGAGGTCCCCAGTTAATATTTATCCTGGCTGAAGCCAGAGCAGGGTTCATTTTTGCAGTAGTGAGGAGGGGGCTAAGACCCAGAGGTTATTCTGTATCACCTCACCTCACTGCTAAGAGAAGGAGGAGGTCCCTTCCAGGACCTTTCTAGTCAGGGTGGACTGTTGCTGTGGGGTTGGTGGAGCTCTGCAGTAAGCATTTGTGCATGTTAATCACTCTCTTTTGTACATTATTGCTGTTAATGTTTGTTTTCTTACCTCATTGCTGTTTCCAGTAAATTTTTGTTATCTCAGCCTGTAATCTTTACTTTTTTTACTTCGAGTTCCCCTTTCTGTCTCATCCCAGGGGAAAAGCAGAGTGGACGAGCAAGCAAGTGGCAGTGTGGTTTTAAGTATCTCAGTGGGAGCACTAAACTGGGCAGTACCATTCAGAAATTATGCTTATTTTTAAAATTTTAAAGGTTTATTAAACTTTAACAAAATACAATAACGGACTGAATAAGGAAAAAGGCAGCGTGATGGGAACATATGAGCAGTCACCACATGCTCACTCACAAAATGTCTGCTCCGCCTTTTGTGCCCCTGGAGCTGCATCAGCCAACCCTGGCCCCTCCCAAAGTCCGTCAGGTAACTCCTCTTCACTGCCCATTAGTGGAGGCTGCTCTCTGCACCTTGATTGGGGGTCAGGTGTTGTCATGCTGCACCTCCTAGTAACAAGCCTGTCCTCCTCCCAAATGCCCCATGCAAGGGGTACAGGTACACACCTTCCCTCCAAATGTCCCAGACAACCCAGGCTGTCTGGTGGCAACCAAACAGGAGGGGGAAGAGGAGTATGGGGAGAATATCTAAACAACAAACTACAACAACATAACTACACATCAATAAAGCTTCTATTAACATACACATAATATTCTTTCCTTAATTGCGAGAGCAAATCATCCTATTACTCATCTATGACAATTCCTAAACCACAGCAGTCTTGTTTGGCACCCACTATGGCGCATGAAGGATTGAGATCACAGATAAAACCAGACGGGATTTAAAACAAATTTGATCTAACCATTTGCTGTATTAGGTAGGGGGTCACTGGTCACAATGTTCCTTTGTCTGTTAGTATGGGTATTGTACCTAACCCTTTATATATTCCTATATGTGCTCCTCCTGATGCTATTTTTCCAAGAAGGGAGAGGGATCAGGATTGTTCTGTTGCTGGACTGTGTGACATCAGTTTATGGCATGATAATATCAAGGGCAGTGAGGGTCATTTGGGATATGTATTCAGTGCTGCTCTCTTACCTCAGGTACTACCTTCTGGGATTCCATTAATAGTCATGGGGGGAACTGGAAAGGACGATTTCCCTCATCTTTTCACTCCTATTACAAGAGCTTTTGAGAATTTTTAATTCCTTCTGCATGTTAATAAGAACATGTTCTGTTTGGTTGCTAAGTCTGGCAGGACTCCTCAGTGTGGTGTACATCATGTTTAGACATTTCTAGGGAGGTTATTCAGACATCTGCCCTGAGGGTAGATAGTCATGAGTGGCATGGAATGTGGGAGAAAATGGGCCAGCTTTTGAAGGATTATTGTGCTTCAGTGGTTTGGAAGTTCACTCGTGTCAGGAAAATCCACAAACGCCAGAGGTTTATGTCCAAAAAGGAGACAGAGAAGTCTTTCAACTTTATTCGAATAAAAAAGGGAGAGAGTCGGCTGGGGCACACACCCACGGGGATCCCTCTCTCGGGGTTTCAGAGGGTGCAGCCTCCTTTTACCCTAAACTCCCGGCCGCACATTTCCCTCTTCATTTCCCCATTGGCTGAGGTACTAGGACAGTACAGCCTTCCCAAACCGCATGTCCCATATGCCCCCCTTGAACTTGTTATTTTACCCCAAGGTTCAGAAGTTCGGGCTTGAGCAGACCCTTGTCTATCTCAGGAGCCAACCTGTCAGGGCTCTGCAGCAAACCTGCTGCCTTGAATTTAGTAGAGACAGTAAGACCCATTTCAAAGACGTTACCAATAATACCTTCACCCAACAAATTATTTGTAAAGACATTAGCACGTATCTTCCCTCTCACTCCTGAACAACTACGGGATACTGATAAAGTGGCAGAATATGTGATGGAAAACTGGTGTGGCAGTTCCAAAGAGGCAGGAAGTTATGCAGCATGCTGGACCCTGGCTACAGTTTGACCCTAAACAGCACGGTCAAGGGGAGGGAGAAGGGAGGAAAGCAGACCAACAGGCATCGTGGCCACTCAAACTGCAGCTGAACCAGTTGTTCACCTCTGCTGGTAGTGTTGCAAAATATACCAAGTTAATATTTTTTTATTTTATAACTTTCGTCAGGTTTGTTCGCCTTTGCCCCAGGGGAAGGGACCTGAAACTTGTTTTCAGAGCATTGTGCCATTAGGTGAGGCCTGATGAGCTTAACATCTCAACAGGCTAGGAGCAGCACAGAAGAGACAGAACAGATAACAGCATCAACGGCCATTAACGGGAGCATCAACTCCAAACAACATCCCTAGCTAGGTGGCTGGAGACACCTAGTTTGGGAAAGCAGAGATAATAATGAGGATCTAATTAGCATCGGAAGCAACCGATGTAACTTTATGTAACCAATAAGAAACCAAATAATAAGAACTGCATAACTTGGAACCAATGAATCTCTATGGGTTTGACTGTATAAAGTTTGTGAAAAATCTAGTGAAATTCATGTGTCATGGAATGATTTTCTCTGCACACCCAGGCTATGTGTGAATGAAATTATTTCTGTTGCACATCCTGGCCAGAAGTAAAGTAATGCCATATCTAACACTAAAAATGTTGGATAGTTTTGGTTTTTCCCTGCAGTTTCGTGACAGTCGCAATCAGTGAGTCGCCAGAAGAAGAAATCCAAGATCAAATCAGTTCACACAGGAAAGAGTGAGGAGGAAGAGGCAGGGCCAGACATAATCACCCCATTTCTGTCCCTGGGTGAGCTGTGAGATGCACAAGAAGATTTCAGCCACCAGTCAGGAGAGCCTCTGGTGACCTGCCTGGTCCAATGCGGGTATATTGCAGCCCACGATGCAAAAACAGACAGTAGTGAAGCCGGGCAACAGGGATCTCTGTCCTGGGATGTAGGCACTGACAAGAGGATTGGGAAGAGGACAGAAACTCAGACCCTGGAGGCGACTCCTGTCAAGCATGAAGGAAAGGTACTGTTAAGGATGATCTAGTGGTGCACCCAAGCAGGTGGACTGCCATGGGAAAAGGTATCCAGTAGCTGAAGAATTAACTGTGCTGAATATAGTCTATAGGGATTTGAATAATGAGCAGATAGATCTTTTTGGGTGGATTAGAATGAAAAGACACTGAATGATTGGTGGGTTTATATATGTTTGTTGTGTGTGTGTGTAGGGTTTGTTGTAGAACAATTTGGTTGCAATGGAGAGGATATAAGTAGCCATTTTCGTTATTGTTATCTATGGTAATAATATCAAAGCATGCAAATACTACTTAAGAAAATATATAAGGAAAAGAATGAGAAAGAAATTATAAAAGCAGAAAGGTATTACCACGATGAATCCAATGACGAGTCTTGATTGTTGCAATTTACATGTCCATTGGTTAAACTGATCTTCACAGTCTACTGGCACCCTGACTTCCAGTGCTGGGATGGATGTTCAAAGGGGAAGTGCCTCCT